GAACTTGTGATGAGAGGAAATAATAAGACGAGGTGACTTATATCTAGTCTAGTTCCTGTTTCCCTTCCTTGTTCCCTTCCTTCCTTTCATATATCTTCGAGACTTCAGCAGTGAATATTTGTGGTAGTGGACATCGATCAAAAAATTCCTATCTCCTATCCAGCAAAAGTGGAAGCGAACACTGAACATAACATTTAATGCAAAATGATTGGAATCGTGGAGAACAGTTTTCCCATTGATAGCGCAATAGTTAAGCTTTTGCTCACAGCTTACGTAAAGAACTGCTATTATCTTCCAACGCAGAAGCTGTAAAATCCCACACAAGGTTGGCGAATAAAAGCGCCAAGTCATCATGCTCCTCCCCACCCCCTGCTGGTCCCCTAGTACTAGGCTGTGAGTCTAGGGGGATGTGTAAGCAGTTTTCATTACCCTCAAAGTTCACCCTCTTCTCCAAGGCTCAGTCAGCGTGAGCATGCCCCTTTTGAGTACACTAGCGCCAAGAAATTGATTCGCAACGGTAACGCAAACGCTCCTGTAAGCGGATTATCTCCAATGGAACTGAATTACATTTTACGGCATCTTTTACAGAAAGAATGAACATATCCCGTGCCTATCATCTACAAGTATGCGCTCTCACTTTCAGCACAAGTCATCCTCACAAGGATACCTCCGTATCAGATTTCTATGTCTATGGAAATATCTACAATTGCAACTAACTCGAAAACAAGGTGGCCGTGAGACGCAACTACTAAGCAGTTCATGATGAAAACTACCTCACGAATTAGAACTCTCTCTTCCCTCAGGTGCCAAGTAAACTTCGTCCCCTCGAGTCCCTCACTGCACTGGTACAATGCATAATGGCATCAATGATTGTTCTAGTGCGGAACATTATAAATACCCTAGCACATTACCCTATTTTGCATGTTAAGAAGTAAATGACATGAGGAATTAGAGTGGTTTCCAGGCGCGCAATGGTTTTCCAACGATATGTAGAGCATCTCTCGGTACCCGTCACCTATCTGAAAGGAGAAATGCATGGCTCAACTCAGTACAATATTCGGAGCTGTGCTAGTTATGAATTGATTAGTCTTCCCATTTCCTTTCATCACGAGCCCCGCCTGTGATCATCAGTTACAAATGTCAACGCCAGTAGAACTAGGCGTGGGCGTACTGTAATCGCTTGCGGTACGCAATTGCACCGGCGCAGGGTGGGATATATACGTAACATCCTCCATCACCGGACTCACCATCTGAATTGCAGTAACGTTTACAGTGTGGGACATTTTTCAATTCGCTGCTAAAGGATGGCTAATGATGTCCTCTATCATCATGTAGCTGAGATCATTAAAAGTGTACTGGCGAAGGAACAAAGTCTTCGTAATGCTGTTTACAGTAATAATTACAAGGTTGGTGTACCATTCGATTTGTCAACGTCTTGGGCAGAGGTTTTGAGCTTTTCATTTATTGCCATGTGATTATCAATAAGAAGCAGCGTATGATACTACCACGTCTATTCTTTTGTTAATCACGGGTGGGATTCGCCGGGGGCATGCATAGTTGGTCATCCGATCGTAACGGTCGCACAGCATTGATGCGTATCGATCGTCAGATTGCCTGAGTATTCGACGATCGATACGTATCTAACGCTGTGCGACCATTACGATCGTGGCGATCGGACGACCAACTATGCATGCGCCAGCTAGGACAGAAAGCGACTTTTTCGCTTGCTGTCCTAGCGGGTGCTGTGAATTCAACGCAGCGAAGAGTGCTCCGCGCTTCGCAGCGCGTAACATTTTTCGCTGCGTCGATTTGCGCCTGTTTGTGTCTCATTTTGGTCTTTCGATTGTTTTTTTTACTGTTACTTCTGGATACTTCTGAAATAGGCTTGAAGCAGTTCTCCGTATTCGCACAGTCAATAATTATATGCTCGTTTTTAATAGGTGTTTGTTTGAGAAACATTTTCTACCCATAGTCGTGCCCATGTTGCTAAAGAAGCACTCGACAGGCTCTTGATTTCCATTCCTGGCAGGTTGTTATCTCACTGATGTTCAATGCTGGATGAAATGGTTGCGTCATTACCAACCGTCAGAACCGAAGAACCCAATGAGCCCAGATGCAACCCATTTGGCACGCGGTAACAACCTTCCTCACTTGGGATTTCGGTGCTATACAAGTGGGGTGGGCACGCTCAGCTTTTCACGCATGTCAAGTGACTGCCCTCACCCCCACCCCCTAGATTGGCTACACTCCCCCTGGCTCACGAATTCCCCGATTCTCGTGACAGTATAGTAGCGGGCAGCAGTCCCACTTACATACATTTCTGTTCAAAAAATGCGGCGTGCCCACCCTACTTGTATAGCACCGGGATTTCAAATACGTGCCCGATGTTTTTGAGTTAAACCTGTTGCCTTTAGGTATTTGACAGATGAGAGTCGTGTGTGGGAGCACAACGCATGGGACAATGTGGACTGGAGTGAGGAAATGAAGAAGGATGCTCATCGCGTCATTGAGACTCAGAAACAGCAAGCTGTTGACATTTCAAAGGCAGAAGAGTTGATAGGGAATCCTGAGAAGCAGTGGGATGCGTTCTACTCCCAGCATAGTAACAATTTCTTCAAAGATCGTCGATGGCTACTGAAAGAATTCCCAGAATTGGACATGAAAAACTATGCAGAGGTATGTGCTGTCAGTTTTCGATCCACTTTTGAGTTCAATTAACCCATTCGTGACAATGTCAGCCACCGGTGGCTGACAAAGATCTCACTCGGGCAATGGCATCCACCGTGGCTGCCGGTTTCAAATGGAATTTGGAAAGTTTTCTTCCATGAAAAGAATCTTCATACCCTCATTCATCTACGCCAGCCCTGGGCAGAGGAAATCTCCATCCACTCAAATTTTATTGAAGAAAAATCTCCTGACTCTCCTGCTATTGCGCAATCCCGCGCGGTCGCGAATGGGTTAAAGACTGCTTCTTAATACATTTCCTGTAGCACATAGAAAAGATAGATTGACGAGCATCCTGACTGTTACCCCGAAAAATACAACAAGACCGATGTTTCTGCGACCAGTTGTTCTTGCATCACATTGCTAGAAGGATTAATCTTGGGGAGAACCATCAAGTTGGGAAAGTGTAAGGTGTTCTCTTCGCACTTGTATGCGCCTCACTGTCATCGCCTTATGTTGCGCTAAGCCAAAAAAAGGTGTCGAGATGGAATGAAATGTAAGTTCAGGATGGTTGATTCTCCCATGATCAAAGCATGTGGTCAGGATTCATGGCAACCCAACCCCAATGTTGCTCCCTTGCGTTGGCTGTAGTGCACACCTCAAAACCACGGTCTCAAAACTGTCTCGTAGAACCGCCATTTGGGAGCCGTTTCTGTTTTATATTTGGGTCGTATTTCATCTCGTTCAAACCTGCTGGCAGTATTGATTTCCGCTTGACACACGCAAATTCTATTTTTTTAAATCTCAATCAGCGTTTTTCAGGGATCTAATGTTCGCGTTCTCGAGGTCGGATGCGGTGTAGGCAACTCTTCATTCCCGCTATTGGAATGGGATGAGCATCGAAGAATGACTCTGTACAGCTGCGACTATTCTGACGTGGCAGTAAAAGTGTTGAAAGAGCACGAGAAATACGACCGATCAAGAATGTGTGGATTCGTTTGGGACATCACAGAAGAACCACCAGAGGATGCCCCGGCAAAGGAATCTTTAGACTTTGTTGTCTGCATATACGTGTTATCGGCGATACATCCTTCAAAAGTTCGACAAGCTATCGATAATCTTGTAAGCCTACTAAAGCCAGGAGGAATGCTGTTACTCAAGGATTATGGGCGATTTGATCTCACTCAACTCCGATTTAAGAAGCATCGATATATTGATGAGAATCTGTACTGTCGAGGTGATGGTACACTCGTGTACTTCTTCAGCAATGACGAATTGGACGCGCTTCTTCGGTCTGCAGGACTTGTCCAGAAGGCAAACTTTGTTGATAGACGACTGATTGTCAATCGTGCAAAGCATGTGAAGATGTATAGGCAGTGGTTGCAAGTAAAGTATCAGAAACCCAAATAAAGCCTTATTCAGCACTTTGCTTTATTGTACCTGCATTTGACACTGTCAGAATCGCTCAGTACTTACATTACCGTATTTTTTTTTGTTCTGCGGTCGCAGTCTAGTTCACTCGGTCATTTTCAGAACAAGAAGGCGCTGCTAAGATTGAGTTGCGAAACTTTACGATTTCGAGCACTGTTTGACGAAATATTGAATGATCCTGTGCTTGGCCAAATTACTTCCGATCCTGAACTGAATGGAAATATTAATCTAGCCTACGTTCTACTTTATGAGTTCCTAGCTGGAGCTGGTTTAGGAAGGGTAAGTATTTTTCCAAGATTCCGAAGTGATGGGCAGAGAGTGGTCCACTGTCTTAATGATTTTTATGAAATGTCTTAATACATATCACATTCTGTAGAGTAGAGCTTAGTTTCATTCACTTGTTCAAGTCCAGTATGAGGGCTAAACGAAGTTGAGAATTCTGTCTTAGAAGATCTGGTTACAATTTGAAGAAGGTAGTTTTGCAACAGTTTGCCGGTGTTTTATGCTATTTACGCTGACTCGAGCTTTTATTGATCACTTTGGTACAGGAACGTTAGCAGTATTCTGATTAGAACCGTTGCGCTAATTGTTTTCATTGCGCATACTCAAGTTTTTAGGATATTTTTGAACTGCATTTTCGATTCTGAAAGTAGGAATGTACTTGAACAGGAACATGCCCTTCACCGACACATACCCTAGTGTTGATACTGTCTAACCTTCGGGAAAGAAGTCTCATTTTTCGGTCAGCCCATGTCACTAGTTTGAGAAACCTTGCTTTTTTCAGGCGTCACCACGGCTACGAGGCGCAATTTACAAACATACGAAAGCTATACATGATAGGGTAAGTATTTTTGTCAAATTTCTCGTATAAGAAAACATACGCTCATCAAACAAGAGTGAATTTTTGCTCGTTTTTATTTGGGAATACTCCTATCTGTGCTTCCTTATAAGGTACTCAATAAGCAAAGGGCATTTTAAGTAGATAAGTGAATTGGTCGAATGAGCCGACAGGAGCAGTTCCTTTGATGGTGGCGTATAAGGATTTTTTTGTGGCAGAAGGTGCTCTAAAAGGAAGTTTTAGGCGGCAAATGTGGGTGTGTCCTCCCTGCTGTTAGGTCCGTTCACCTTGCAGCATGTTTAATTGTCGTACTGTTGTTCGCTATGCATATTTTTCCGCCTTTATTCTTGCGTCGGGGCCTATTACCGTATCTCAGATTACAGGCCGAACGCATAGTCGGTCGTCCGACAGCAACGCGTTTTACAAATTGCCTAAAAATTAAGGAAAAATTGCTAGCAGAAGGCGGACGAGGTGTAGCAGCAATCAAGGAAGAGGGCGATTCAAGCGAATCAGCGGTGTTTATTCCACGCTATGCCCGCATCAACACTCTAAAATGGACTGTAGAAGAAGCCGTGGAGCGACTCAAGTACGAGGATTGGAGGGTTAGTTGTTGTTAAGTCTTGCATGAACTTATTACTAATCTTCTTATGCGACTTACCAGTTGGCGCCGCACGCATTGCGCGCGCAACACAGATCTGTGGCGAATTTTGATGGTGCGACGAAAAATTTCAAATTTGGCTTGATACAATACGAATATCTGAATTCTCCGCTAAATTCTATGCGCTCTTTCTTCGTCAACCATTATCCTATTTTTCTCGGTCCTCGGCCCGGACAATAAATCTCGTGGCGAACTCCGTCTACTTCGGTGCGTGCCCTGCCGACCAATAGCATTTGGCTCCCTTCTTTTCGCCGACCTCTACCCCCTTTTTCACCGGTCTCTGGGACCTCTTGGAACCAAATTACGACACTTTTGGCAAACTCCGCCCACTTAGGTGCGTGCTCTACCCAGTGATAGCAGTTGAGCTCTTTTCCCTCACCAACCTCTAACCCCGTTTTCCCCTATCTCTAGGACCTCTTGCAACCGAATTGCGATACTTTTGGCAAACTCCGCCCACTTGGGTGCGTGCTCTACCCACTAATAGCATTTGACCTCCTTTCCTTCGCCGACCTCTACTCCCTTTTTCCCAGCCTCCTGGACTTCTTGGAGCCGAGTTATGAATTTTCGTCGCAAACTCCGCCCACTTTGGCCAAGCCCCGCCTACCACTGGCCTTTGACCTCCACTTTCCCACCCAACTATATCTTCTTTTTTCCCCACTCTCCGGGACCTTCTGGAACAGAGTTCTGAATTTTCGTCGCAAACTCCACCCACTTTGGTCAAGCTCCGCCCACCGATGACAGCTGGCCTCCACTCCCCCACCCACCTCCATCCACCTTTTCCCCAGCCTCCGGGACTTCTTGGAGCCGAGTTTTATATTTTCGTCGCAAACTCCGCCCACTTTGGTCAGGCCCCGCCCACCAATGACAGTTAACCTCCACTCCTCCACCCACCTCTATCCACCTTTTCCCCAGCCTCCGGAGCTTCATGGAGCCGAGTTATGAATTTTCGTCGCAAACTCCGCCCACTTTGGTCAAGCCCCGCCCACCAATGACAATTAACCTCCACTCCTCCACCCACCTCTATCCACCTTTTCCCCAGCCTCCGGAGCTTCATGGAGCCGAGTTATAAATTTTCGTCGCAAACTCCGCCCACTTTGGTCAAGCCCCGCCCACCATTGATAGCTGGCCTCCACTCCTCCATACACCTCTATCCACCTTTTTCCGGCTCTTTAGGACTTCCCCGACCCGAATTATGAGGGCTTGTAGAAAATGCTGTACACTTCAGAGCGCGCCCCGCCCATTCTGGGCAGGCCTCCGCCCACGTCATGTATGCGGGAAACACCTTAGACATTGCTCCCTTACACCAAATTGTTTTCTGCTCTGTAGGCTTTCTCCCAACCGAGTTATGAAATTTTTCATAAAGCACTGCTTTTTTGGAGAACGCCCCGCCCACCGGGGTGGGTCTCCCTAATTCGATGTGACTTACCAATGCACACCTTACCCACTTTTTGGCCCAGTTTCGAGGTCGTTTTGTCACTGAAATCGAAATCTTGGTCTTCGGTACAGTTCATTTCGACGCACGCCACGCCCACTGTGGGCGGGGCTCCGCTTAGCTGATGTGTGTTTTGTACTTCGTGAGACCTTGCCCACCCATCCCACACTTGACCCGGTCCCTCCAGGCGGATCCCGAGGAGCTAGGGAATTTCGTGACAGACATACAGAACGACAGACAGAGACAGACAGAACGACAGACGAAGCGCTTTATAGTAAGTAGGGATGCTCGAATCATGCCTAAAGATTTGAAAAATTACTACAAGTGAAGCGCTGATGACGTTAATCTGTTATGGTATTTTGAGAGTCAATAGGTTTTTGAGTCTTCTGAGTTATTCTTTCCAAAATCCTCAAAAGACTTAAAACTTTTCCGAACTTTCCCTTCCGGTCGTGCTTGAGGTTATTGCGTGATTATAATTTTCGGAACAAACTTCTACGACCTTAACTTGCTCTTGTATGTTTTTTTCGTGATACTTCGAAATAGCATCGTAGTTTTATGTTAAAGGATAAAGGATAAAGCATTTGCCGTTGATCAATCCCTTTTTGGGATGCGGCACGCATTCTACTTCCATTTGTACATTCGTAGTGGCGTTTGAATGCGATGTGGCCTATACAATGACTTGCGGGGGCCAGCCGATGTACAAGTCAGTGGTACCAATTAACCGACCCCGGAGGGATGGAAGGCTTGGTTGGCCCGGGCGACTCACGACCCAGGATTTGATCCCCGGACCGCTCGCGTGGTAAGCGTGCCACTTGCCACTACACCACTTCCGCCCATGTGGTGGTTTTCACAATACAAGCTCACTGAATAAATTTTGAAAACCATCCTTGGTTTCAGGTAACCTGCTTAACACCTGAAGACGATTTCGCGGAATGTGTTGGTAATATGGCGGAAGATGAAGTAAGTATTTTTTAAAAATCAATGAAGAAATTGAAAATTGTGAGGTATTCATGGATACTTCATTAAGAGACACGCATAAGTTTTCCACTGGCATTTGCAAAGGTGTTTGTATGTGTACATGGCCTGCGCATTGAGTTGGCGAGGATGATCGAACTTTAACCAACATTTAAGTTCTTTGATCCAGTGTGAAGGAAAACGTCATGTTAATCTAGTCATCAACAGTTATGGGGAGATTTATGTATCCCTCTCAAAAAAGTGAGCTCAATTTTCCCCGCAGAATGTGTTAGCCAAGCTTTTGAAATCGGTTGTTTCGTTAACCGTCATTTCCAATCACTTCCTTGAGGCATCTGCAAAGGTCTTTTATAAGAATGTTTTGAACGCCTTTGGTAACGAAAGGGAAAGCGTCTAACCATCAGAGGTCACATAAAGGCAAAATTTGCGATACGTTGATACCGTTGAAAATGTCAAATAAGAGGAGCAAAGTGGTGCTTTGAAAAAAGCGAATGAAGAACCGGGGAACGGCACCCTCTCTCTCTCGCTGATGAGTCTGGACGAGTCAGACGCAGCTTTTGACGTTTTTTTGCCATTGCAACAACTTGTCTTTGTAAGTATACTGACAAGGGTGGTGAACAAGCATGTTTTCCTTTATTGATAAGGCGGTCAATGAAAGAGCTTATTCTTTTCCATTGAATGAGTTTTTGATATCCTCTTACCGTGAAAGTCGAAGGATTCGCCTTTGGAACGTGATGCGTGGGTTGGGTACCTCGATGGATCATAGTCCATCCCGAATTTGTCTGTTTTGCTGGTCAGCAATGGGATCCATATAATGAGAGCCACTGTCTTTAGGAAGATGTCCAGTAAACCGCTCCAAGAAATTATGTTAAGCAGCTTCAGACCGGAGCAATTACTGTGTAGTTCTCCTTAAACTTGACAGGGATGGCCTCCTTCACTGCCCTCACTCGATTACAAATGACATCATAATCTGAAGAGGGCAGTAAAGGAGCTTTTGCTTCTCTTCATGGAGGGAAATTTCATGAACATTCTGCCGAAAGATTTCTGTTGATATTGCCACCTTGTGCAATTTAAATTTTGCTGGTGAGCGTTGAGACCAGAGTGCCTTCAGCCATCCGTGTATACTAATGCAGTTATTTCATATGTTATGCCATATTAATATGTACTCGTGCTGCGCAGAGAATAATCCATACGGGACAACGAAAGCTGCAATTTTAAGATTCAGAGGTGTGCGGTTCGATATTTGAGCTACTCTTCGGAAGAAAACCACGGAACTCTTCCGGGGTACGGTAGGGCTGGATTTCTTTTGACACTTTATGGCACCTTATAATTTTGTTGATACTTATAACTTTCTGCCGCGGAAGCGCCACGTATAGTCTACGTGGGCTCTCCTGTACCCATTCCACTACCCAATTTTCTTTTTCATAAACATCAATTTAAATACCATTCTACTTTGACGATAGCGTGGGACAAATGATTCCCGCACTTTGCAAACCACGTGGGGAATGGCGGGACGTATGCGTCCTGCACTCATTTTGTAGAACATATCCAGCATAGCTACAGAAGACGTGGCCTCTAGAATGCTGGAAACTAAAACTATCGTGTCACAAGGTGAGGTGGCTTGAGACGAAAGGTCCCCACAAGAAGAAAGTCATGCAGCACGTCCAGTTTGCGGTATGTCGGAATCCCTACTTTATTGCACCTCATAACATTGTTGGTAGAGCGCTTTCTGCAGCGAATGCGTCACTTATCGTCTACCTGGGTCCTCCTTTACCCTCCCCACTACCTATATGCTTTGCATATGCATATGCTGTTTTTCTTTCATGATCATTTTATCGCGAATTTTCCAACATCTCGCTGTCTGAGCAGTCTACGGCCTATAGATTGACGGCAGACGTATTTGGTAATAGTCGGGCGGGTAAAGCCGTTCCCAACATATTTCGCTGTAAATGAGCGCAGCATGCTGGAAGCAGCTCATCCAAGCTACTTCTAACATGAAAAAGCACTTCGATGGATGAATTCCCATTATTTTCTTGCATATTAGGCGCATTAATACGTTGTTGTAGGGGAGCATACGAACCTCTTAGTTAAGTACTGGCGGTGAGATGGATGGAAGCTAATAATATATTGATGAAGAGTACATCATTTATTGTTTCCACCTGTAATACCTTGTTTTTAATTGGGACTTGATGTTCGGTAAAAACTTGTGCTGCGGAATCATAATGAACCCCCTATTCTGTGTTCGAAGTGGCAGAACTACCTGTTCATCCCGACGACCTTTGGCCCGCCGGTGGATTTTCACTCGGAGGCGCCTCGTTTTTCGCGGTTTCTTTTCTATTTTCGTTTTAAAACTCGTATTGATGAAAATTTTTGAAGAGAAATCAAGTTAGTTTGTATGACGGCGATCGTCAAAAAAACACTCCGTCCCAGAAGCGATCCGCCCACTGGTTTACTTGGTGATTTGGACGAGCTGCGTTGCCAGCAGCGGCACAACTGGAGCAACTCGACTGAGCGTGGTTTGGCATGCTGTCACCAAACGCGTTGCGTGAACTCGT